TTATCACCTCATTAATATTCATGGCACTATTAACAAGTATGATGTATTCTGTCCATTCAAGAGAGAATACTAAAGATGAAACTGGTGGTGCTTCATTTATTTATGGTTGGTGGTATTGAAATCTTTCTTCCATAAATTATCTTTCATTTTATGTAATATATTTTAGAATTTAATCATTTTTTTTGTACAGAAATAAAATTTTCAACTAATTCTTTATAAAGATTTGAAATATCTGTGTATTGTAAAGTTATTCTACAACTTGTTAATAATTTGTTAATCGACAATGTCATATATACTAGGTATACATAAGAATGGTTAAAATTATTCACCCAACGCTGTAATGTCAGTCATTATTTTAAATATTATTTATAACAGATAATTACAGATAATTGATATATTAGATATAAAACTTCTTACTTACCTGATACATACGTACGTACGTACGTATCAGGTATCTGGTACTTGGTACGTACGTACGTAGGTAGGTAGCTTACAAAGCGAACTACGTGGCTGCAACAACAGTAGCAGGTAGTAAACCGGTTAACTGGTACCTTGTACATTAAATCAATTAAATCACCTGACAGATGCACATCATGTGATACAATTTAATCTCAGATTACTGTTGTTTACCCGTGTAAAAAAAAAAATAAATAAATTGATCGCTTGATCCTTAATCTCGTTACTCTCTTTTACCTTTTTTTACTCTCTTTTACTCTCTTTTACTCTATGGAGTTTTCTAGAGACTGCAAAGATAATGAAAGTACACCACCTAAAATGTCTCAGTTAGGCCAATTTAGGCGTTCCAAATCTTCTTCCATATTGGAACTTTTTAGAGACTGCAAAGATAATGAAAGCACACCACCCAAAATGCCTGAGTTAGGTCAGTTTAGGCGTGCTAAATCTTTTTCTATATTAGAACTTTTTAAAGACTGCAAAGATAAAGAAAATACTCCACCAAAAATGCCTAATACTCCTCCTAGAACGTTAAAGTATTCTTCCCCATCTCATTCACCTTTGTCTGATCAAAGCGAAAGTCCACTTACCAGTCCATTAAAACGTATGGCTGAATCTCCAATTACCCATTATTTCAAGCGAGTTGATATCTCAAAAACCGTGATTAAAAGTACTCCCACAAGTTCTACTCCAAAAAATTCTGGTGATGCTGAATCATCTGATGATGAGTATGACGATGATATTGTGATTAAGTCTACACCTTGCAATAATTCAAAAAAGAATAGTTCTACAGTTTCCATCTCTGATGAGAGTATAACGTTGGTTTCTCCATCTTCGAAATTGTCGACTTTAAAAAAAGTAACCGTATCGGCTACTGTCGGTCGTCGCGTTTCAAAATCTCATGTGACTCCTCCTACCAAAAGTGGAATTAATGGGTATTTTCATAAGATGAAAGGAAAACATAAAAAGGTTTCAAGGTATATTACTGAGGATAAACTTCGTGATGTATCTCCAGAAATTAG